CTCTCCTCTCCTCTCCTCTCCTCTCCTCTCCTCTCCTCTCCTCTCCTCTCCTCTCCTCTCCTCTCTCTTCCTCTCTCATCTCCTCTGAATCTTTGAGTTTTCTCTCTCAATTTTTCCATTTGGTCTTAGCACTATCCTTGTCATGCCTTTTTCCTTCTTATGCTTTATTTTTTTTTTCTTTTTCTTTTTTCTTTTTTTTCCCCTTAAACAAGTAACTGTAACAAATGGTTACTGTAACAAATGGTTACTTCTCTCATTATATTTACAGGTACTCTTTAAATTATTTGTGAGGTTTTTATGTAACATTGTATTTTACAATACCAGATGTTTCCTTAGGTGTGCACCAAGTTCCTGAGTCATTTGTAGGCCATTAAGCGCTGAGACAACTCGCATTGTGAAAGTCACAAAAAGTTTTCTGCATTTTGTTGTGTTTTTTCTCCTTTTTTTTTTTTTTTTTTTTTTTTTTTTTCCCCATGATAATTCAACATTGCGTGTCTTAAAGTGTCCTTCTGTGTACTTTCTGAAAGATAATTTTCCAGTCTTGTTTTGATGGCACTTGTTGTCCATATAAAATAGATGCTGTTCCAGCAGTGAATTGCAAACTTTGCATTCCACGCACTTGCTTCCAGTAAAAGGCTTATGAATGCCAATGACTGTAGTATAGCTGCTGAAAAGCAGAAATGCAGCACCTGAATCATAACGTTACTCCACAGGGCATAGAATTTTGTGAAATTACATTAGACTACATAATTTCGCATGATGACAATAAACAATAAATTGAGTTTTTCTTCAAAACTGAAACAGTAAAACTTCTTACTGCAAAATGGAGTATGTGTTACATGTTTGCATGTGTTTAGAAAGTGGCTAGACATGATGAAAAAGCATTTTTAAATAGTATTTAGCAGGAGAACTTTCCACTGGCTCAAAATTCTCCTCAGCTGCAGATCTCTGACTGCTGTTTAAGCTGACTTAATACAGTTGTTGTGCTCTTAGCATGAAGTAATGCTGGATTTCAAAGTGATTTAGGAATACAAATCTGACTGGAGATGCAGGGTGTGCATTCCTAAATTCCTTAGGCACTTTTTCAAATCTCTGCCTCCACTTGTGCATCTGTTTTGAAAGCAGTTTATTTATTTTTCCCTCTCCTGTTTGTATTGAGTTTTGCTGTTCACTTTGAGCTATCAAATATCAATGAGATAATCGAATCATACAGTGGCCTGGGTTGAAAAAGACCTCAAAAATCATCTAGTTTCAACCCCGTGCTGTAGGCAGAGTCACCAATCGCCAGAGCAGGCCGCCCAGAGCCACATCCACCCTGGCCTTGAATGCTTCCAGGGATGGGGCATCCACAACCTCCTTGGGAAACCCGTTCCAGTGTGTTACCACCCTCTGTGTAAAAAACTTCCTCCTAATATCTAACCTAAATCTCCTCTGTCTTAGTCTAAAACCATTTCCGCTTATCCTATCAGTTATCCACCCATGCAAACAGCTGTTGCCCCTCCTTTATACACTCCCTTCAAGTACCACAATGAGGTCCCCCTGGAGCCTTCTCTTGCATAAAGGGATTTCTCAATGCGATTTTGAGTCACGCAGCTGGGCCCTAAGGATACATTTGACATATTCAAAGGAGAAAATGTCATTGAGATTTCACAGTGACCTTTCTATATGTGGTCTCCTGATTCACTGATTTTCTAGATATCTTAAAAGATATTGGCTTTTAGGCAGAAAACTGAAAGAAGTTTGTAGCTTGTCTATATCATGTGTAGAATAACATGAAAGGGAACAGAAGTTCTGCTTGTAATTATTTATATATTTTTAGTAGTTACACAACATTTAACTTGTGAAAGAATCTTCTCTTTTCCTTAAATTCCCAGCTAGTTGCAGTGGCTGCTATTATACCTACACTACTGCTGAGAGTCACTGCCAAACAATCAAAGCTCTACACTACCCAGATTCATAAACACTGCTTTCACTAGAAGAAGCCCTGAATTAAACCAGCAGGTCTTCAGGAAACTGCTGGACTAATTACTCCAGTATACAGTATTGGTTTTTTTTCCCTTCCAGTTTGTAAACTTCTTGCAATTTTTACCATATATGCACAAATTTGTTCTTCCTGGTGATATGCTTGCATATGCAGACCTCCTAGCCGTGGTTGGCAACTGTAAGACCATTCTTGCTGGTGAGATTAGTCTGATAATAACAGCAGAACTGCCTTGCAATTAATTTTTGCCTGGGTAACGTTAAAGTATTCAAACATCTTCTGGATATTTTCATAGGTAGTAACTGGTGCATCCCATCAAAGTCTGTCTACGTATTGTCAGTGTCAGGATTATACAGTGTAAAGGTTTTTAGCCACTTTTTTCTAAAATCAACAACATTTTTATGTTGCTTAGACACACAATTGCTGCAAAGCAAATACAATGGCTACAATATAGACTTTCCATTGTTTGCTTGTGTTGTTGCCTTCAATAACAGCTGTTGGATTAACAGTTATTAAATTTGTAATAATCTATGCCAAATTAAGACTAAAAGTGGGTAGGATTACCCAGTTTTTCAGTGTTATAGAAAATACCAGTGATCAGTTTATTATCTTTAGATAATAATTTTCCTTGAATAATTTAATAATAATAATTTTCCTTGAATAGCAGTAAAACAGCCAAAAAAGTGGGCAGTTATTTGCAAAAATTATTTTTGTACTTATCAAAAAAGGGTCATTTTGGAGAGCAAAATTAACAGTTTTTGAAATAAGCACTTATAAAAAGCTGAATTATTCTATTTTTTAAAAAATCCCATTAAAGAGATATCATGATAGAAAATTCAGATTCTGAGACTTACAATTTGAATCCTGAAATTTTACATGAAATTGTGTCTTTGCTCAGCCAAAGTTCATGCTGGTTTTTACAGATGAAATCTGAAAAACACAGAACAGTCTACATGGCTTGATGAGTCCATAAATGCTGCGGGATTTCTGATTTCATCTGAATCATTGCTGCCTGATACAATAAAAGAAAGCTCCTGTCTCCTGTTTCATTTATCTTTACTAGGGATTTCTTCTTCTTCTTCTTTTTTTTTTTTTTTTTTTTTTTTTTTTTTTTTTTTTTTAAAGTTGGTGACCTTTGAGCACTAAATTAAACTCTCAAGAATGATAACTCAGAAACTATGTAAGTTTGATTTGCTTGTTGCTTCTCAGAACAGTTTACAGTGCAGCTCTCATACAAGAATGCCAGAGAAATCCTTATAGGGGGAGCTGAGAAACACAGCTTCACTAGCACGCATAAGGGCAGAGTCCAGCATTATATTGAGACATAACAATCTTTAACAAGCAAGTCCTTGGTCTGGAGTTTCTGGTCTTTTTTTTGCAGCTACAGAAATTTTTCTGAGGATTAGATAAAGCAACAAGAAGCTCACGGTTGCGACCACCCACTGGGAGGAGCTCCGTGCTATAATGTAAGTGTCAAGACCAGGTCAGCACAGAACTGATTATCACAGGCAGCTGTCGTGGTACTGCTTAGCCCACAGGCTAAACCTGTGGCCTACTGAGAGCGCAGGAAGGGTCCCTGTGCCCTGGCTGGAGCCCAGGTGAAATCTACTTTTGTAATGAGGTGCCCCACGCGCACCTTGCCACCCAGCTGTGTGTCCTTTGTGCTACAGCCTGCTTACAAAATCAGGTCAGGCTGAGACTTCATGGGTACCTGGTGTTTACTGCAGCCTTTTGAAGAGGCATCTGCTGTCAACCCCATCCAGATAAAAAATGCAAGCAGCAAATGTCATGAACACTGGTACGTAGCAGTGTGTAGAACTCCCGTGTTTGCCTTTCCCTCTCACTGCATTGTTTGTCTTTGCTTTTCTTCCCTGATGCAGTTTGTGGTTGGAGAAAAAATTAAAATTGTCATGCTCTGATGACTTCCTTTATGGATGAGGCCTGGAAACACAAAGGTCTTTACAACTACTTGAAGGGAGGTCAGCTTCTTCTCTAGCATAACTAATGATAGGACTAGAGGCAATGGGCTCAAGTTGAGTCAGGAAAGGTTCAAGTTGGGTATTAGGAAAAATTTTTTCTCCAAAAGAATGGTGAAGCACTGGAATGGGTTGTCCAGGGATGTGGTTAAGTAATCCTCCCTAGAACTGTTCAAGAAACGTTTAGATGTTGTACTAACATGGCTTAGTGTGGAAATACTGGTGGTAGGTGGACAGTTGGACTAGATGATCTTGGAGGTCTTTTGCAACCTTGGTGATTCTATGATTCTATGGCTGATTTTAAGAGGTTTTCCCCTTACATTTGGTGAGAAGATGAATTGCTCAACGCTTGCGCTGGCTGCTGGGAATCTGGGCTCCCTCTGAAGCTTTCTGTGTCTGCTGAAAAAGCCATAGCCAAGTCTTTTGGAATTCGGATTTGCAATTTTAGTAACAATTGAAATTAATTAATTTTACAGTTATATACTTTGTCAAATATTTATTAAAACTGTATTGACCAGTATTTCACAATCTCTTTCTGAAGCAGTGAAGTAACTGTAGATTCCTGAAGGCTTAGCATTTGAAACGTTCCATCTTGTCTCCTAGTATTCATCAGAAAAGGCTTCCCATGTGATTTCAGAACTTAATCGTATTTGGTTTTCCTTTCCATTCTTGTGTAGTGTACCTTAGACACACTGCCAGTCATCTGAAATGAGCATTCTTCTCACAGGTGGGTTAATTATTTTCTACACAGATTATTTTCCATGCCTAGCCTGAAGTACCTTAACTGTTTATATTGACATAGAAAGAAATGATAAAATTGGGGATGTTTCACAAATATTTGTACGTAGAAAAACAGCTGTCAATGGATTGCTACTCAATGAATGATTTGAGAGTTAGCTGCATCTGCAGTAAAGCCCTTCTTCAGATGGAAAAAAGGGACACATTTTTGTCTGTGATCTAATTATATATCATTTCCATAGAATCACCAGTGCACAACATGTGTTGCTGGAACTTTTGAGTTGATGACTTACACAGTACAAGAAAGATTTCTACTTGACTTACTCTTAAAAGCTATCAGAAAAATACACAAAAAATGATGAAAAATGAATTTTTAGTTCTTTAAAATTAGCTAAGAACTTTTAATTGTCCAGACATACTGGGGAAAAAAAAAAAATAAAAAAAATAAAAATCCTGCCAGAGTGTTTGGAAATGGAAAGAAAAAGAAGATTTTAACTGAAAACCATATGACTGCAATATCTTTTTAATTTTTACAGGAAAAAAAAAAAAAGGGAGGTTGTAACTGTCTTTTGTTGCACTAGTTATTAAAACCACATTCAATGAATAAAACTGCTATTCGAGTTTTTATGAGTCTTTTAAAGTTATCAATCTCAAATTTACATTTTTTTTATTAGATGTCAAAGTCCTTAAAAATGTATCAGTTATTTAGTTTCACAGATTGAAATGCTGGATTAATGGAATAAAGGAGATCTTATTGTAGACTCAAGAGTTTGATAGCCACAGCCCCATCTGCTTTTTCCTTTTCTCTGTCACTAAGTGAATCATTAGTGCAGAAATGCTCAAGATGACACCTGTGCAGTCAAAACAGGCCAGAATGTGACTCAGAAGGTGATGACAGTCACCCTTGCCCAGATCTTTAATATGCTGGGAGCTGTAGTAGCAGTAATTCTATAAATGTTAATAAATGCTAAGTCTTTAGAATTTTTGTTTATCCTGGAGACTGTAGTGGCCGTTTGATTATGAGACTCAGCTGAAATAGAAAACAGAGTAGTAATATTTTGGAAGGGAACAAAATCGCATGAAAATCTGCTACAGACTTCTTAAGTCCTTGTATTTCAAAGCCATCACCACCTTAGAATGAAAGACAATCTAATTTCAATATATATATCTATACATAAAATATAAGTAATGATGGAAAACAAGTTTTTTCATAGGACGGCTGAGGTGTCTTCAGTGTCCATCTGCTCAAACCCTTGCCTGCGCGGGGACACTCAAAGGACTGTCCAGGCAGCTTCTGAAGATCTCTGTGGAGGAGACACCATAGCTTCCCTGGACAACCTGTGTCAGTGCTCCATCATCTACATAACACAGAAGTGCTGCTTGATTTTCAGTGGGAACTTCCTCTATTTCATTTTGTTTCTCAGGGCCCACTGGAAACAAATGAAAAGAATTGTAAGAGTGGTTCTGTCTCCTTTGCACCCATTCTTCAGATATTCATAAATGTTAATGAAATCATCCCTGAATCCCTGTTTAGCTCCAGGCTGAACAGTCCCAAATCTTTCTGCCTCTCCTCACAGGAGAGGTGCTCCAATCTCTTCCGTATCTTCATGGCCCTTCTCAGAAGTCTGTATCTTCTCCAGTATGCCTACATCTCTTGTGTGGGGGATCACAGCATAGGACCTACTGGTGTGACCTCACAGGTGCTGGGTAGAGGGGACCTTCCCCATTGCCTTGACACAGCCCATGGTACCACTAGCTTTCTTCATAGCAAAGGAACATTGGTGGCTCCTATTCAGCTTAATGTCCACCTCACACATCCAGGTCCTTCTGTGCTAAGCTGCTAACTTTTAGCAATTTTAAGCACAAGGAGGCTTTCCAACTATTGATGTTACTGAAGACTTCCATGCTTCTTGGAGAAATGACCAACAAAGCATTCTCTGAACCTTTCAGGCAGCTGGTAGGCTCATAGTCCATGTGGAACTGATAACAAACAGCCAGATGTATAATCCTGGAGCAAGCTGTCAAGTAGGGTCATTAAAACAGCTAACAGCGCACCTCTCCCTTATCAAACAGTAGGGCTGAGCTAGTGAGAATAGGCAGGGAGAGGTCAGACCATGGATGAGTAGATCTAAACACAAGACATAGAAGGGTGTGGAGAAGGGCACCTAGGAGGTACATACACAGGTACTGCACTAACGCTGTCCTGGCCTGCTGAGACAGCTAACCCCAAGTTGCCTCGAGTGAGAAGCGACATTCTCCACTCTGCCCTGTAAACACTGCCTGCCAGCTCCTGTTTTGTGCTCGCGGTGACGACGCCTCACACCCGCAGCCACCCAAGCTGCAGGTTCACCAGCACAGGTGCGGATGGGCCGTGCCTGCAGGCCAAGGGCGGGCAACGGGGCCGTACCCGGGGCTTGCGGCCCCGGCCCGGCTCGGCCCCGCCAGCGTGGGAGTGGGGGCTGCCGGCGGCCGCGCTCCAGCAGGGGCGGGGCCGGTCGGGCCGGGCCGCCGCGCTATTAATAACGGCGGCCGGGACGGCGGAGGGCAGAGCGGCGGGCGGCATGCAGGGCAACGGCGAGAAGGCGGCGGGCAACGGCCGTCAGGAGGGCCTCGGCGGGAGAGGGGCGGCCGACGGCGAGTTGCAGGCTGCGGCCGTACCAATGCTGCCGGCCCTGGAGGTGGCCGAGGAGCCGGAGAAAGGTCCGGGCGGCAAAAGCAAGGACCCCAACACCTACAAAGTGCTTTCCCTGGTAAGGGCCGGGCGGGCCCGGCGGGCAGCACCGCGGCGCTACGCGGGCGGGCGGGCAGCCCCGGCTGTCCACCCTGAGGGTCGGGAGAGGCTCGTCCTCGCGGGGCCCTCAGAGCCCCCTGGGAAGCCCTCGGCTGGGCTCTGCCAGAGCAGCAGGGGCGCTGCGGGGTCGCCTCGTCCTCGGGCGGCAGTGCGGCGCTTGCGGTGGCGTGCTTAGCAGTTACCGGCAGCAGCCTACCTGGCGGAGCCGGGGCGGCTCTCGGCTTGTCGTTTCCTTTTCGTCTCTTGGCGACGCTCGCGCTTGAATCGCCTTGATTCTTTCCTAGTTTTAGCGATTATCCTGTGTTCTTCGTGCGGTTCTAACTAGATGTAGGGGAAAGTAAACGTATTCAAATGAGGAGATACGACTGGAAATTCGTAAAAGATTTCGGGAGGACAGAGGAAGGATTAAAAGTTGGCTTTGTGCTGCATTTGAAACGCTGTGCTTTGAAAGTTTGCCTCCGAGCGTGCCTTGGAGCCGCTTTCAGTCCTGGTTCGGAGGACCTGTGTCCGAAGCCATTCTTAGCAGGTAGGTCAGCTTCCAGTTTTAGCCACGCAACTGTATTATAATTATCCTTCCTGTAGAGATGTGAAAATAAGACTGTCCAGACTGCCCGGAGTGATCATTACGAGGCTGAAGTCATTATCAAGCTTAAACTGTGGCCTTCTTGGAAGGAAGCTTCTGTGGAACTGCAGCAGCTTTTATTGCGTGGTGTATCCATAAACAGTACACTTTCAAATCAAGTTACCTTTCCAGGTTTAGCATCACTTGGTCAGTTCATCTGAAACAGTAACCATCACACTGGCAACTGCACACTGAGTATATTTCCTAACATAATAGGTTGTGAATTGCATTTACATGTTTGTTAGAACAACTACGAAACATACTCAATTTCCATAAGTTCTATGATTGATTGTTTATGTGTAGAGGATTGTTGGTTGTGTGTGTTTGTGTGTGTGTGTTTTTTTTTTTTTTTTTTTTTTTATAATTTTTTTCCTCCTGGCAACTATACTGATGAAAAGCATTCTTAAAGGTAATGGGCTGCAGCTTATTTCATAACTTTGTTCTCTTCTGGGAAGGACAGGATGTCCCAAAATAAGGCATTGCAGCAGATGGCTGGAAAAAAAAAAAAAAAGGGCTCTTTTCACCATCAAAATGGGTTGTGATAGTGAAAAATCATATGCTATTGAAATAGAAAATAATCACTTCAAAACTGGAGTTAAGCACAAGCTTAAACTTTCACATGTACTTATGTACACTTCTGAATAACATCCTTATTTTTCAGACCACAGTAGTTCTCCAAGAACTGGCAAGGCATTCATCCTGTGCTGACTTAAAGTTTTCAAATTAAATATATGTCATCTATACAGAAGCAAGCAAAAAGCAGTGAACAACTGTGTAGCACTGTTTGTAGTTATTGCAAACAGCGATAATTTAGAGTATTTAGGCAACGTTTGAAAAACTTACAGATACTAGATAATATTGGCCTGAGTAAGGGTATACTTAGCTTAAACATCATGGTAGGAAGTCAGAATGGTAGAAAACTGGACTGGTAAAAAAAGGAGTTGACTTACTTGCTTAGTGATCCTGATTGTGCAGTGGGAAACAATAAAAGTGATGTTGCCTGAAGTAAGCATAAAGTAACTTCTTACACCTGTCTTTATCCTTGTTGCATGTGCTGTTGCTACCTTTATTAGGGTAGATGGGAAAATGTGATTTCAGATAAGTTTCTGGGTGTGGTGGTATTTGTTTTTTGTTTTTCATTTTTTGTTGTCTGCTTGTTTGGAAAAAAAAATAATTTCTGGAAAGCATGGACTTGCTTATATTCCCCTATTTCTGTGCATGTGTTTGCCATCCAAAGATGTCTGTACAACTTGAATGCAACTTCTGTGGTGTCAGCTTCTGCTGATGAGGTGATCTTATCCCATTAGAGAAAAGTTGTGAAGTCACCATATGCAGAAGGCTGTCATGTAGAACTGACTTGTGGGTGGTTTCAGGAGCCTCTCCATGTCTCATGGTGGTACTCAGCTATTGTGAACTGAATGAACTGTGAACCAGCAAACACTGGGTGAGGGAGGATGTGGGTAGATGAGGAAGTGGTATAGAATCACCTCCGCTTTTAGCAGCTTTTGTTGTGGCAGGCACAATTTTAGCTCAGCAGTAGATGTTCATATCACGTGTCGCTTTTCTGGTGCTATGCATGGGCAGGATTTCCTGGATAGTGGGACAGACCTGCAGGGATTTATTAACCCATCATTATTCCTGAAGAGCAACTGAGTGCAAACATCCAGCACTCAGCAGTCTTGGGAGATGATCTCTTTATTTATGTAATCTCCTAGCACATCTTTCCATTTACTTCTTCTGTGTTTTTACCTTTGTCCTTCAAAGCTGAATGTGCTGTTCATGTTCTCTCCAGGCTCATCTGCTGCTTTTACATGACTGACCAGCTGGCTGCCTTCCAAGAGCAACTTAATTCTTCCTTAGGTTTAATGTTTTCAATTCAGGTTGGCCAGGAAATCTCATTGGGTTTTGTCTGATTCATTCATTTCACTAAAATTTTCCATGTGTTTAAAAGCTAAAATGTTGAAGGGGGAAAAAAAGTAACAAAATGTTTTTTTCATGTTCACAGTTTCAGACTTTTTCTTTGCCAGAGCTGGAAAAGTCATTTACGAGTGACACTTGCATTAGAAGATCACAGATCAAGAATTTTTGATTGGGGGGGAAAAAAACCAAACCAAAATATTTCAGATAGACTTGGAACGGAAACACTGAAAGTGTATGATTCTTATAGAGACTTCCTGAAGCATTTTGAAGTACTTAAGATAGTAAACTGTGAGGCTTTAAAAAATATTGTAGGAATACTCTTAAAAATAAAAGTATTTTGGAAGCCTTGTGTCTTTTTTTTCTTTTACTTTCTTCTAAAAGGCCAGTCCAAGTTTTCTTAATTTAGTATTTTATACTGAAGTATACTAGTTAGTATTTTATGTACCTGTGAAAAACAATTGTATTCTGCCTTTTCAAAAACTTTTATTCAGTTACCTTCTTCTATTCATAGGGAGAACAGGTAAAGCTTGTGCAACACTGTGAATTTAAACAATCTAGTTACCAAATTAAGACACTGTGACTCTGGTATGTACTCCCAGAATCTGCTTTGTGTTTTTCAGTTAACTACTGACCAATGCAGATACTATGAGGAATGGTAAAGAATATATGGTTGCACAGCTGTAGGCTTGGTTACTGTCCCTTGTTGTTATTGAGTGAACTTCTTATCAACCTGAGGATTAAGCTAAATTACTGGGTGGGACAAAGCTTTGTTTTCACCTTTAGATTGAAGACAGTGAATGATACCATGATAAGATGGTGTCCCTGGGAATCTCTGCACCGTTCTCAGCTTTCTAGTAGTGAAAATTAAGTCCAAGTGCTGACAAATCAAGAGGAGTTTTTTTTCTTTCTCTATACTCAACACTTATTAGATCCCATTTGAATTACCAGGTTTTGAGTTCTCTGGTGCAGAAAAGATCAATCTAAACGGGATTGTGATCAATGGAGGGACACCAAGGTGGTCAAGGACAGAAGCTCCTCACTAATGTGGAGAAGCCAAGGGAGCTGGGCTGGTTCAGCCTAGATGGGCTTGGATGAGGCTCAGATCCTGCCCACGATAGCAGCCTTCCCCTACCTCTAAGGGTGTTTTCAAGAAAGATGAACCTTGTACCTGTATGGATGTACAAGTGGAGACATGAGACAACAATTTAATTTGAAGCAGTAGAGGTTCTCATATTGAGTACAAGGGAGGAAAAAAACAGCACCCTGGGAAGACAATTCAGTATTTGAACACATTGTCCAAGAAGACTGAACGGTTTCTCTTGAAGGGGTTTGAAACTCAACTGCATGTAGCCCTCAGCAGCATGGCCAGAATTTTGTTTTAAACCTGCTTTGGTGAGTGGACTAAAAACATCTTTGAGGTCCCTCTCATTTAGCCTTATGATTCCACAAATCTGGTTCCAGTTGTTTGTTGCTTTCTACATGAAGGTTAGTGTTTAAGATCTGAATCATATACCCCTTAGCAATTGGGGTACTTAACCTGATGCAGATCTTTTCTTGTCAGCATTTGCCACTGCTGTAATCAGGAGAGACTCTTAACTCTAGAAGAGCTGCTCAGGAAACTAGTTAGCAGAATTCACTGGGAAACTACTTTTGAAGGCATTAGGATCCATCAGTACTGGTGGCTTTTTAAGTACTGCCTCTTAAGAGCACAGGGAACAGACAATTCCAAAACGTTGGAAGTCAACACAGGTGGCTTGCCTGTGCAGGAATCCTGATCAGAGGTTAGGCAAAAAATGTATGGCTGCTGGAAGTAAGGTTATGTGACATAGGAGGGCTTCTGTGATGATGTTTGCCACTGTAAGAATAAAATTTGTTCGGCTAAAACTTAGAATTGAAGTTGGCCATTAATGTGGGGAACAATATGTTAACAACAAAATGAGGACCAGAGATAACATGGGTCTCTTACTTGATGAGAATGGTCACATCACAAATAGGG